CGGCAGGAGGTGGGGGGGGGGGGAAGAGCCCAGGACTGGGGCAGCAGGAGGGGGCAGGGGGGGGCGCGGGCGGGGGAAGCAGGGGGTGGGGGGGGGGGGAAGAGCCCAGAGCTGCGGCAGCAGGGGGTGTGTGGGTGGGGGAGAATCCAGGGCTGGGACAATACAGGGGTGCAGGGGGAGCCCAGGGTGGGGGGGGTGGCAAAAAAACCTAGAGCTGACTCTGTTCCTACCATTCACAGCAAGCTGCAGATTTCAGTTCCATACTCCTTCCCCCACCCTTTCCTGTTGCTAGTGGCCAAGGGAATGCTGAAATGTAGTTCTTTCCCTGCTCCAGGGCTGGCTCTATAGGCAGGGAGCTAACCAAGGAACTACAGCTCCCAGGGCCCCCTGTTGGTTCTCAGCTCCCATGCTGGATTCTTGCGCCCCTTGCAAATCTGCCGCCCCAAGCAACTGCTTGCTTTGCTGGTGCCTAGAGCCGGCCCTGTGTCTCCATGAAGAAAGAGATCACGATAACATATGGCACATACTGTAGCATGGAACACAGTAATTCAGACACAGAAATTCCTCTATAAAGGCTGGGCCTAAAAACGTTACTCACGTGAGTAATCTTTACTTGCCCAAGCAGTCGTGTCTAAGGCAGGGGTCAGCAACCTATGGCACGCATGCCAAAGGCGGCACGCAAGATGATTTTGAGTGGCACTCACATTGCCCGGGTCCTGGCCACCGGTCCCAGGTGCTCTGCTGCCATCCTGGGCTGCTGGCCACTGGCCCGGGGCTCTGCAGCCGTCCCCAGGTGTGGCCCACTGCAGCTCAGCACCCCCACCTTAAAAATTGTTCCAGCACCACTGTACTGGGATATTTCTAAGTCCTGATTTGCTGCCTACATCACTATCATGTCATGTGGAACAGCACATTGCATTTGACGTTGTGCATGCCGTCTGTTACAATTTTTCCCCCCACTGTAAGTTGAGGGGTACATTTGACAAAATGTCAGCCCCTAAGAAAGCAAAGTTAGATGTCCGTTCATTTCACTTCACAGCACCATTTGGTGGCTAAGTCGTGACAAGGTTTTGGTGCACTTTGTAAACTGTTTTGATGCACTCAAGGCCTTTTTGTTGGAAAAAGGGAAAAAACTACCCCAAACTGGATGATGACAAATAGCTGTGTAAGCTCATGTTTCTAACTGACATCACCGCTCACCTAAATAAACTCAACCTCTGTCTCCAGGGTGCAGGGCAAACGGTTCTGGATCTTTATGAAATCTGGATGGCATTTGTTGTAAAACTTGCAGTTTTTTCTCGGGATATTCGAACTTCG